ACCTTGATCCGAACCATCCGAGGGTCGAACCAAATAAGGCGATATTAACGTGTAGAACAAATTGCTGTTTTAATCCAGTGTAATAGTCTAATGGTTGTAAGTAATATATGCAAACGATTTAATTAATGTTTCCCATAAATACGCCACGACGTTGTTAATGTCCGATGAATGATCGGAACACCGGTCATTCATTAATGGGGGGGAAAAAAAGGTTTGACTGCGTACATCAATGTTGTTGGCGCAACTAAATCGGTCGGAAAGCTGCAACGGAGGGAATTTAATGCCCATCACTAACCGGATGAAGCCGGGGGGCAGGGGGGAAGGGGGACTCGCGTACAGGTCTCGACATCGAAGGTGGTGCTGAAGGGGTGGGGAAGAGGCCACTTCCGGTCACGTGACAACATTGGACCAGCCAGTTTGCTACTTTGCTCTCTTCTTATTTTCGGCTTCCCAGACCCACCCTCCCTCCCTTCGCCCGAGCGCCACGTCTTTTTTCCCCTCCGTCCCGCGGTCCCTTATCGGCGTCATCCTCTTCTTCTTCTTCTTCTTCTTCTTCTTCTTCTTCTGGATTAACTCGGAGTAACACGAATCGGTCACGAACGAACGAAACGGATGGTAATATTCCATTCTTATTCTAGCTCCTCAAATTCGCATTTGTTCGACAAAATTGAATCTTAAAATTTGTTTGCAATTACGCGCGGTCGAAGGACGGAGTTCGTAAGAAAAAAAAGGAAATAAAAATTATTTGCTTACTAACTTTATTAACAATTGCCGGTATAAACCTGAATCTACTAACAATTAGATAACAACATGTGCGTCAACGCATTCCTATGGACGTAACGAATTCGCATCAACCGGAAGTAATGGAATCTTTTTTTCTCGTTCGTTTTCTCTGCTTCAGTTTTACTTCGTTCCTCTCGTTTTATCGTAGTCACGGTTCCATGTATGTATGTACATTATGTGGTAGTCCATAAAAAATGTTTCAGGCGAATTTTTCCACGAGGGTCGTAGGTAGGGAGGGGGGTGGGGGGTTCGAGGAGTTTCGATACATTCGCTAGTTTGCTTTCCTTGATATCATACGTCCGTATACGTGAGGAATATATTATATCTATAGTTGTCGTTGTTCAGTGCTCTGCAATTACGGTTTCCTGATTTAAATCAGACTTCGCGAAGGAGACCAACGATCCTAATTTGTGACGAGAACATGAACACGCCTATTCACCCACTTTCAAAGATATATGAAAGTAAAGTCGCGTTAAATGCGAGGATTTCGGGTTTGGACCTTCGTCATTAACGTAGAGAAGGCACGATTCTTATCTTTGATCCCAAACGTAGAACAGGATAGCGAATGAAAAGTAAGAAGTGCGATCGGTCGAAGTAGCCGGCGAACATCAAAGACTAATACTAATTCAACAACAAATCGTTCTCATACTTAATTATACATAATTTTTAATACAATTACTATCGTATTTATGATATTCTTCTGATTAAATTGAGACCAAACATGGTGTACTTTGAATTTTTCTTTTATTTAAAAAACAACAGTTGTTATTACATATCTGCCATGGCAAACAAGTTCGTTTGGTTTTTAGGGCAGAATGAAACAATTTTTTCGATACAGGATAGATAAATTTTCTACAATTGTATAGGACGCACTAAGAGTCGTAACAATCTCTTACACCGATTGGGATGAATTTCTGTCAATAATAGCCTTGACATCGCTAGAATTAATCTACTTGCATCGAACGAACTTTTTTTCCAATCCATTATAAATATAATCAGAGACATATCGCGTTTGATCTCATTTTAACCAGAAGAATGTCAGGAACACTTTTTAAAAAAAAGACTGCACATGAAAAAGAGCAAAAATTTGTTGTTGAATTAACGTTAACACACATGAACGTTCGCTGTGGATCGAATTGCCATTACGCGACGTTCGGATTGCACCACCGAACTCGAGCATAAAATCAGACGTACTGGGGATGGGAATAGGAATAAAAATTTTGAATTTGACGTAGACTTCTTTTCGCCTTCAACGCGACTTTACTGCAAGTATTCTTTCATATCTTTTGATATTCTGCTACGAGTATCGCTACTGATCTCGCGAGAGTGGTAGGTTTCCTTGATTATAGTGATCGATGCATAAGACTGTATACTGGGTTTTTGTATTTAACCACTGCCTAAGTACGTAAACGTCGAAAGAAACACCGGAAGAATACGGCATTGAGAAAAGAAGAAATGAAGGGAGAGCAGTAAAAAGAGGAGACGTAGTGAAACGGAGATGATCCATGCCTCGACTTGCGTACGCGTTAGCCTCCGGTTCAACGAAACGATATTGCAAAGAGCGACGGAATCCCTAAATCGATTGATCGGATCGAAAGTAATTTTGGTTGTCCTCAAAAAAACTACAGCTTCGAATACGTTAAAATGAAATGCATAAATATATATATATATACGTATGTGTGTATATATAATATTTATATATATGTATATATATATTTACAAGACATATACAGAACATGTAAAGTTAATATTGATAAAAACATATTTTCGCTTGGCGAGACGCGCGCGCGCATACATACACACGCACATACACATACATACACGCAAATATGACACGTACAGACGTATAGGTATGCACAAAACACACACACGCGCACACACACATACACACGAATGGAATCATCGTAGGCCCTAATTAACAATTTGGTGATTGGCTTGCCTGCCTCGGACACCTCGTTCGAATCGAGTCCCAGCGAACACCCACGCGCCTTACATCTTCGTTAACAGTGAACGAGCAAATAAAACGTGAACACTCGTATTCGCGGAAACTCGATTTTACACAATCTTGTATATTCCCTTAGTTTCTTCCCGTTTCTCGCTCCACCTTCGAAACGAACGAAGCGAAGCGAGCCATTGGAAGAAAAAGATCAGTCTCGTTTCCGAACAGAGCTCCTCCGTTCGTACCTTTGAGAGAGCCCTGCAAGCGCGTTCGATGCGTTCGTCGCCGAACAATGCCCACGTCGCGAGGGCGGCAAGAGGAAATTGTCGAGGTTCGAAGAAGCCTGAGAAATATAAGCTGGTTTTTCAAAGATTTTATATGTGTAAACGAATCGAACGCGCCTGCCGCGAGGATGGTGCGCCCCCGTAGAACGTCGCCGGCGTGTACATTCTTCAACGATCAAGCCGCCCGAGCAAGAATGGAAAGTTAACACACCTTCGTTCGGTGAATTCCGTCCGCGTGGGAAGCGCTGTTACTGTGCAATTAAACGCCGCTTCGGGCCGCGGCCGCGGCTCCGCTCTCCGATACCCAGAGTCCCGCGAGCGTTAATTATTCCAAAATCTTGCCAGAGAGGCAACGAAGAAGCAGTTGAACTAACGAGGAAACCGATTAGCCTCGCGTGTACCGCCGTTCGTTAACCTCCGCTGCTACTTTTTTTTTATTCACGAACATCAAATTTCGTGCGTACGTTCGGTTTAATATCCGGCGATGGGGTAATCGCGTGATCGACGCGTTCGTTGTATTTCATTGGACCTGTCGATGAATTTAAAACTTCGAAAAGGAACTCTGTATGTATTTACAAGAGGGCGGAGCAGCAGGACACGTTCCCCCCTAACGAGATGACATTTAATAAAACTCGCACGACTAGATAATACTGGAAAAGAGAAGAAAATGAACGGAAAATAGAAACGACGCCGAGACGTGCGCGCGCGTGTAGTACAAGTGAAAATTTCACGCTCGCGGCTCTTTCTCCCCTCGATCCGTTCTTCTCGCGCTTACGTGCCCCCACGCAATTGTCCTTTTTCCATCTGCCCGCATTCTCGTCGTCCCCGTGCAGCAACACCCGTGCACACACCCGTGCGAACACGAAGTACACACGTGTACGTATGTACGTACATACGTAAACGCAATCGTTCATTCTTCAAGACTCTCTCGCTCTCACGCAGCCCTTGCGCGTGCATTATCTCGATCTCGTGTCATACCGCTCTTTCTACGCTCGACAGGGCCGCTCGATACGACTCCAGTGTTAACGAGTATAAAAGCGTGTATATATATACATGTATGTATATATATATATATCGTGTACCGAGCGGAGGAAAACGCTCGGAAACGCTCGGACAATGCTTCTTTTCAGAGCATCTTTCTCTTCTCTCAGCCACACGTTTCTTGCTCCCTCCCCCATCCCCCATATATTTCCTCGCGCTCTTATCGTACGCTACGCGTGTTCCGTGACAGGCGCACCGTGATCGATGCGGCTAGGCGAACGGCTTCGGACTCCGAAATCTGTTCAAGGCTGATTAAATAACACGTCTCGCCTATCCTCCTTCTCCTTATTACCATGAAATTCTATTTGTTAGCTTGGCGATGCAGCCGCGAATAAATTAACCGTAGAAAAGTTTTCTTCTTTATACAAATATAATATACAATATTTATAACTATAATCTAGGCGTAGTCGCGTGTACACGCGGCGACGAGGCGGCGAAGGGGCCGAGAGGAACGCGTGTACACGCGGATACTGACGTGCTTCTTCTCGCGGTTTAATATACTTTAGTGGTTCGTTCTCTCCCTTTCTCTCGCGCATTCCACGCATTCACGCACATTCCCGATTGCTCCCCGTATTTCGCGCGTACTATTCGTAATATGAAATCGTGTATAGACCTATCTATCTATACGTAAGTGGTATGTCTCTGCGCAAATATACGTGTACCCCGTGTCATCTTTCTCGCCCTTTCTCCGCCGTACTTCTAACGTTTCCTCCTAAACCCCATCGTAGATTCCTACCGCTTCTTACCTCCGTCTTCTCGTTTACATTTTCATTCCCGTTCACGTTCACGCGTTCCACACGCGTTCACACTCGCTCCTGCGCGCGCATGGAAGAATAATAAATAAAACACTCGCGACGTCAGACGTACAGATTCGTCAGAAATAATTTCTTCGACAATCGTTTCTTCGACTTAAATGCAACTCTTGTACTTAATGCGATCTTCGCTTTGCTCCCATCTCGAGTAGCCTACATAGAGAACCATAGGTCCGTTATCGGCTTCGCAGCCTTCTTCCACGGAACGAGTCGCCACGTCAACTAGAGTTCCGGCGTGACCGGGTCGAGTAACCTTTTCTCCGGATCCCTCGAGTCCCCGATGTCGTTGGCGATCGGATGATGCCTGTTCCCAGGGTTACCGCTCGCGTTCGGATTGCATCTGCAGCCCTGGGCCGCGTGCCGGGCGTAACACGCTTCGCACAAAGCGACGCACCCTTTGAACGGCCAGTAGCACAACAGGCAGGGCATGACGAGGGTGAGCGCCCCGAGGCAAGCCCACCTAGACGCTGTCCTGCTCCCCGTACAAGAACACGGGTCGTCCGCGCAGCTACCACCCGCTTCGCCGTCCATCCCATTACTACTGCTCCCGTCCACGCAGTGATAAAACAGTCCCTTCACGCAGCACAGACAAGAAGCGTAATCTAAGATCGTGTCCGCCGAACAGAAGCACTTGTTGTCGCACAACCACTTGCTGGGCAACGGGGGCGGCTCGCGGCAGGACTCGCATCGGCATCGACCGCAGAAATTGCACATTATCGAGAGACCGGCCGGGTCGTAGGTCCTCGAGGCGAGGTTGTTCGCTGGCTCCTTGGTGAACGAGACCGGCTGCTTGGTGACGGCATTTGGCGCCGCGGCGTTCCCGGTGACCGCACCGTCCGCGGACGCGGTCGCGTTCGTCCCGCCGCTGGCTTGCAATGCTCGAAACGCTTGAGACCTGCTCGCGTGTAGGCGATGCGTCGCGGCAACGGACGAGTCCGCGCCTTTTTGACGATGATGCCTGCGGTCGATCTTCGGACAGTCAACACCGCGTTTGTCATCGTCCAGCCGGCGTTCCTGGTTGGAGTGCTTGAACGGCGCCTCGACGTACTCGTTTATAGCCCTCTCGCCGTCCGGCCGCGGTACCGCGAGACTGACCTCGCCGATCGGACTCCTAGGCGGCGTATCGTTCGACAATAGTCCACGAGAGGTGTTGTTCGTCTCCGTAGCACTGTCCACGTTCCTCGGACTGCTCCTGAAGGTGCTCGAGAGCGGGCTTAGGGGCGCGGTGACCAGCACTCTGGGATTCGTGGGAACGGCGAGAAGGGCGGTCGAAGCGTTCGCGTGAACGCCGGGCAATCTCGGTGGCGGAAACGGCCGATTGTGATCGTGGATACGACCGGGCGCGTTCTGATGCTCGTCAGCGGCGTCGGTGGTTGCGTCGACGTTCGTCGGCGAAGAGGATGGCCGCGAATGCGGCGCGACCGCATTGTTCTGCGACATCGGCCGACCTCTCAGTTCAAGATGCTCGTCTCGAGCCGCACGCATCCGGTGCTCCTCCTTCTTCTTCGCCTCCAGCTCTTCCTCCTCCTGCCAGTGACCCGCGAAACGGATGCCACCGGTGACCTCCTCGCCTCCGCCGCCACCACCGCCTCCCCTTCCTGGCCCGCTTCCAACCGTTCCGCTCGACGACGAAGGGACCCTTCCCGGTCTACTTGGTGCTGTCGCTTCTGGCGAGGAAGGTGATGTGGGACGACGAACCGACAGTGCCAACGACGCTGCCCGCTCGCTAGCCCATCGTTCGACGGCTCTCGGTGTACCTGGACTCGGGGTATGGTGGTGATGCTGGTTCTGGTGTTTAGCTGCTGATTGATCCGGGGTAGTAAGTGTCGCCTCGTTGATCCGCACTGCCCAGCCCGCGCGAGATGGTGGTACTCTCGACAAGGGCGTTCCATTAGCGAGGATGAGGCTCGGTAATGCTCCGCGTCCGCTTCCTCTCGCCCTCGCGACACGCGCTTCATCCCCACCTGAAATTAAATGCGTTCGTCATTCACTTCGCTGCGTACGCAACCTTGAATTCTTTTTTACAAACTATCAAATAGATCGTACTTAAGAAACTGTATTAAAATTCTAAAGGGACCATCGTTCGAAAAATGAGTCTATCTATTGTGAAACGGTGGGAGGACGGAAAGTAGGATGATCCGAATGGACAAATTCGAAAGCGATATTCAGATCACACCTCGACAGGCATCGAGAATGCCGTACGCTACCTACGTGGCTTCGAGATAGGTTCAGTCTCCGATACGTGGGCGAGCACGTGTGGGCGCGTGTGTGCACCGGGGTTCTTGATTCAGTGGTCACCCGGCCCACTCGGAGCGCCCACAGCCATCGGAGATCCGAAAAAGAGCGTCCCGTTCGACTGCGACAAACTCGTATTCGAAATTCGCAAACCTATATTAATGCGTGTATCAATTAATTATGATAATAAAATATATAATACATGATACGACAATACATATATGATAATTTTTTAATCATACACAAATACATTATTACAGAAGAAAATAATGTACATAAGTAAACGAGGCTGTGCAGTCGAAACGCGTGAAGCCACGCAGACACGTGAACGGGCGAAGACGATGTGGCAGAAACAGCCAGCCCATTCAGAGGGTGCACTCCGAGAGGAATGCTATCGCCGACCGACTGTCATAGGTCAGAGCTTTTAGTCCCTCTATACGGCCAGATAACAGAAACGTTTTGTAAGCTTGTGCACAACCGGTGCGACCGAATATCTCTCCTCCTTACTACTAATCGGACACATTTTTCCCGTCCGCTTAACAGAGAGATTCGTCGTTAATGGGTTTCTGGAACCAGAAACGGACTCTGCGAGGAACTAATTTTCACTGAAAATCATGGTGAAAGGAGGAATTTTGTCGTGATTCGCGAGAGATTCGTGAAACCGATGAATAAGTCTCGCACTTTCCGAGTATGTAAGGTAAGTCACGAATCAATTATGAATCACGCTGTAGGTATCACGGGATGAGAAGGCTTCGAGGAAGATTGCCAATCACGTAATTGTGACACGATGATTGTCCCGGCAATATCCGCGTGCACGCGCGATCATCGCCGATTACGGTAATGACGATGATACGTCGAATGTTTAGCTAACTATCACACCGTCCGTGCTTCCTCCGACGTTCTTACACCGGTGTTTGCGAATCGTACGCGGCGATACAAGTATTATAAGATGATAGTTGTTACAAGAAACGTGGTCGGTGTTTGATAAATAAAATTGGAACGACAACGGTCTGAGAATTTGACCGCGGTCATATCTCTCGCAGGATGTACCGAATAAGATTACGAGTAATTGTCATCCGTAAAAAAAAAACGGGATTTTTAAACGACGTTCCGGTCCAGATACGTTTCAATTCACGCCGGAAATGTTCGCGATAAGGCCGGATACGCTTCCTCCCCACGCTCGTTTCCGTTCAATAATAAAATTATCTCGCTCCTCGGCCACTCTGTATGCCTACTACAAATTTTATTTTATTTATCTAATTGTACGGGCGACAACCCGTTTTTACAATGGATATAATACAGTCTTTAGTAACTGAAGCAAAAAATAAAATTCAATAGAAAATGCAGGTCACGCGTTAGTAAATAGTGCGATTTTATTCACAAATGTCGACGAGATCTTCGTACCACGTTCGAATACGTGATTACCCGTTTCAGGCGTAAGCGATCATTCAAAGGTGGAATACGAATGAGAGTCGGATGGTAACGAAGAAATCGACTTACTGAAAATTCATGGGACTAGCAAAAATCCAGAAAAGAACGTGGGCTCGCCCACGCCGGGGCCGACGGGATCCTTCGGAGGCGTGTCTGGTACTCGCAGTCACGCACGCGCACTAATATACAAAACACGAACACCGGAACGATTCCGTTCGAAGCAGGAATCCCGAAGTCTTCGAATACCACGGGGGACGGCAGCTGCGCGTCGTCGTCGTCGTCGTCGTCGCCGTCGCGTCCGTTCTCTCATCGGTCGCGTCCTGCCGCTCTCGTTTCACGTCCGTTAATATTACCACCGTGGATCTCCCTGTCGCCGGCGATTAACTGCTCCAACAGCCGCATCTTCCACCGCGTTAACGCATCTCCCGGCTAGAGAAACGGGCCTCTCCTCTTTCACTCGTTTCGATTTTGTTCAAAGAGAAGTTCTCGTACGCGATTTCCTTTCACCGAGCTTCGAGCAGGCCAAGTAAATCCACTGTATCGATGTGCGAGAGTACGACGGAGGGAAAGAGAGGCTACGTGGAATGAATGGGTGTCAGTCGGCGCACGGAGGCGAGAAAGAAACCGCAAAACGTCAAAAGCCAAGACTATAAGACGAACACGGCAGCTGCTGGCGAACGATTGACAATGAGAGTTCGCCGTGAGCCGAGCTGAGCGAAGCTGGTTAGAACTGTTAGGAGTGGACGCGCGGGGTAGGAGGGCCGTGGCCGCGATTGGGTGAGACGCGGAGGGGAACCGTCGACGAGGGAAACCGACGGCCGGGGGCAGGGGCGCGGGAACGACCGAGAGGCAGTAGAACGAAACGGTGGGGGAGGGAGGGGAAAGCAGGAAGAGAGAAGGTGGGAAGGAAGCCATGAATGGCGACAGTCGGGGCCGAGGGGAGAGAAAGGAGAGAGAGATAAAGAGGGACGGTGAAAGAGAGGAGAGGGCCGGTCGGGTTCCGTGCACGGTATGCCATCTGGCGATATCGTGGCCAACGACTCGTTCGCAACATGAAGCTTTTTATGAATGGGCGGAAGCTATCATTGAAGCTTTAGATTGAATGAAAACATTACCTATGTCGTCACCGTGTATACCACCGACAGCGTCGACGCGGCAACAGTGACGGTCGACCATCGCCACGCTGGAGGTGGCAATGCTTGCGCCGTGATTTTTTTTTACTTCTCGTCCCTGACAAACGCGTTCTCCTCTCGTATGTACGACATGCTCGCCAACAATCGCGACAAACAGAACGACGACGTCGACGACGACGACGACGACGACAGTACACGCCTCCTTCCACGGTGTGGGAAATATTTTTTGTCCGGCCACCCGTTTACGTCGGAGATTCGACGTGCCGTTGCCCACGTTATCGATCGAATTTTAAGTGTACATATACTTCTTTTAACTCCAGGTTTACTCGACACCGAAGGGTCTCCAGTCGCACGTCGGATAAAGGATTCTAGCCGCGTCACTTTACACGCGCGTACACCACCGCCGTCATCCTGCACCGTTTTTTTCTCCCCGCGCATTTCCGATCGACCCGCGTCGTTTCTGGGGACAAACGTCGCCGGGAATCGGATACGGCTGCCACCGCGGAACACATAGACCAAGAATAAAACCGGTGTACCGTTACGTTTTAATAACGACGCTGTTCTCGAACCGATCTCGCCGTCGGCTTATTAAGTAATCCGGTTGCATTTTTCGACGGCCGTACTAAATCGGCAGACACGCGCAGCTCTCCTTCCTATCATTAATATTAATTACTCCCGGCGATAAATCGTCACAGATGTTCCGTTATCGTGCTTCAAAAAAAAGACAGTCGAAGCAACTTGCCAATAGTATTCTTTACGAAGCACAATGAATCTTGATCCAGTTTGTGCCTTCGTTTCATCGTTCCGGCTTTTGGTTTCTAGCGCGGAAAGAAACTCTGTGAAAGTATGATTTGCGAGCCACTAAAATCCTTGGGAGAAACGACACATTTAAACGATCGGGACGATTGAAAACGAAAACGAGGGGGCCTTGGGAACTCGAGTGAATGAACTCCGGGAGGGCCTTGAAATCCCGACTGAATGAGTACTCCGAGAGTACTATACTACCGATATATTGATCTAGTGTGTTCACGCCTGCATACATTGGTTCAGCAGGGCGGTCGTGCATTAGCCCGACGAGGAATCCTTTCGTTCCATTTCGTTTGATCTTGCATTCGAGGTAGTAGCTCCGTTCGATCACGCTGGCATAGAACCGGGGAGAGCGCGAGTCGGCCAACTGATAAACTCGCACACTGCGAGAGCCAGCGACGCGAGAGAGACGGGATAGGAAAGAGATGAGAAGATACGTCGTCTCGTTCTGCCGCGTGTAACGCTTCTATATTTATCCCGCTCATTAATTCTATCCTCGTCGTGCACCGTTCATTCATTCGAACATTCGTCTCGCTCTATCTTGGTCCGCCGCGCCACTCGGTCGTCTTGGCGTCTCTTTCTCTCTTTCTGCCGCGTACGCACGTTCATTCATCTCCTCTCTGTCGTTCCCGACCACTTTCCACCCCGTCCTTCTCCTTCGACGCTTCTCTCACTCTCTCTCTCTCCCTCTCTCGATTCTTCTCGCAACCTCGTCCCTCTCCGTCCTTCTCCGGCCTTCCTCGTTTTCTCGTTCTGGTTCGTTCACTCACCAGCGCAACTAGCCACGTCGCTCCCACTCGCTCGTACCAGCACAACGACACACATCCGCACCACTCGTGCCAGTAGCGTAACAACCGCACGCCACGTTTCACCATTTCTATTATCATCACTCCTCAAAGATTCCTTTACACTAGGTTTCTCACTTAGATTCGATAGTGGAAAAAAGCTCGAATCGATTAATTGGTAATTAGTTACAGATATTTAAATTCGAAACATGGATAGATGAATTAGGAACACCTTAGGCATTCTTATCTGTGACAACGCGGGTCCTGGTTGTGTAATAATGTATTTCCGGGCCGCGGTCCTTAATAGCCGCAGATAGAAACGGTATCGTGGTCGAAACGTAATATTTCTTTCGGTGTATCTCGAGTGTCGTATCGGCAACGATACCGTTTTCTAAAACACGGTCTTATCGCCACGCTTATCGTTCACCGCGAAACGGCAACAATTAACCGCAACCGGATGACTTCCAATAGGAAAAACGCCAGCGCTCGACGATCCACCATCGAGTATTTTTAATGACCGACCTACAAATTCTTATAGAAAGGAACATAGGCAGTGCATAACATGCAAAAATATACGCAACGTACATCGTAGTTTATCGGTCTGAATTTAATTTTCTTAAATCGAGATCAGAAATGTTATAGAGAAAACGTGAATGGGGTTCGGGTTTAAGCGTACGGTACTGGGGCGTAGAAAGACAAGCGCGCAGGAACGTTAAGCGAGCAGCGAGCAAAGCGAACAGCCAAGTAAACTTTGACGAAGGCTTGGCTCGCCTCCGAGCAAACATCTGTGCGCTAAGAAATTTCAATAGAAAATAAATTCTGATTCGCGGACCAGCTACCGGCGAATTATCCAACGGAAACGTCCAACCGTGATAATCATTCTAAACAGCGCACTTCGGAACTCGTCTCATAACTGGAATGCAGATTTTATGCATTCATAAGAGAATCGAATGTGCAGGGAATATAAAGAATCTAATATGCATTGTACGCGTCATTATTTCTAACCGCAGATTAGATGCAAATACAAAGAAGTAAATAAAAATACGAAGAATGGTAAATCCCACAAATGTTAAATATTTTATTTGCAACGTTTCGTGTTTTGTGAATTCCATACCGAATTACGCAATTAAGTAAAGGAGGTTTCGTTTAAGCGAAATGGAAGATAGCAGCGAGGCTCGAAGTATATAGTATAGTATATAAGTATACATATGTGTGTGTATATATATGTATACCGTAGGGGAAACGGAGTAAAAGTTAACGCCTAGCGAGAGTTGACAGTGATCCAAAATATTTTTCTTTCAACGGGCCGTGTCACGGTGCGTCCGTTCAAACGCCGACAAAATTAGAGCCGCTCCGTCAAGTTATTTTAATGAGAATTCTGCTTCTCGCTGTGTCAAGATCGCGCATTCAAGCTACAGTGGCTCGCAAACCCATCGTTGCTATCTTTCTTAGCCGAAATTCTAGTCCCCAGACAAAGTCAAGGCTCCCAAAAGCGTGACAATATCCTTGATGGCCATTCGCCGAGCATGAAAACGCCGCCTAGGAAAATCTCGATGCTGTTATTTAATAAATGAAATTGACGATTCTAGATACATTTCTAAGGTTTACCGAGAAGGTGAATCGAAGCTTTGTGGAAATGGCGATTCGTGAAAGGATCGTTTCCAGGTAGTGTCCTCCTATAGCTAGGCAAGAGTCGCACGATGCCGGTTGAGAGCGCATTTCAAAAAATTTACAACGCCCCTCGACACGCTTTGTACTCCGAAAGGTGTGAATTTCAATGTTTCACCCGATCCGGAAGCAAAGGCCTTACGATTCCCAGTACTGTTTGAGCTGCAAATAAGCGAGTCCCTTTCTATCGCTACCGGTCGACACGTACCTGCCTTTCCCGTCTCCTTTTCCCAATTTCCACAGTGAAATCGAAACTTCTACCTTTTCGACCAGCAACAATTCTTATTGCTTTCCTACAATGTCATCCCATGTATTATATTCCCAAGTTAGAAAGTTAAATTAGTTCTTCAAATATTGAGACGATTGAGC